TATATGGCAGAGTATTCCTATGAAACTCATACACATTTTGTAATGAAGAAGTGCATACGGAATTATGAATCTCGGGAGTTGAAGTACAAATGAGTAGTCTTTCGTTGTACATATGGCATGAAGCGAAAAACTAGAGGTTCAGGTTTACGCGTCAAACCGTAAGAATTCTGTTATTTATTTCTGCAGCGCAAAATACACCGGTTGCCAATCTAGGTTTCGTATACGCTACAGGGAGGACGAGTTTATCATTTGTGCCGCGAAAACAGTTCACAATCATAGATGTGATCCTTATTTAGGCGCCTGTCCGGGGATGAAAAGGAGAATATTGCACCTGTTGTGAAGACTACATCTGAGGTTGGTGATGTTTTGGAATATGGTGAAGAGAATTTTAATAAAATTTTGACGAGCACAGATGTGTATAATTTACGTAAGGACGTGAGACTGGGTAGATGATGCAGTTTTAAGTTATTTTACCAGCCATACCTTTGAGATCAGACCTTTTGCGCATAACAAAGCAAAGCGGTCAGGTGGTTGAATACGTAGATTCGAATACAGGGATAACTAGCAGAATTTGCTTCGCCTTGGATTCACAGGTGCAGTTATATCGGAAATATGGGGAGGTGGTGTGTATTGATTCAACATACAATACCAGTAAGGATGGGTAGGTTTACATAGGAGTTCTCCATGCTGAATTTATTCCTTTAAGGGACTACACAGATCACAACTTCAGTTAAATAACACTGACGTGGAAGAAATTCCATTCTTCAATACTAAACTTAATGCCGAGAATCGTGTTTTTTATTCTAAAAACAGGAGCATTCGTAATGTTTCACTTTATTGAAGTGCAGTTACATACAGTTGCACAAAGAACTCAGTGCAACCCGGTGCACAATAGTATATACACAAATAAACTGAAAAATAATGTCCTCCTTGCCTTCCGAACAACTTGCCCTTATTCCGGGATAATAACTTTCTTTCACGTATGAGCCTGAGTTATGTCTATGAAATCACAAAATTACATCAGTTAAATCTTCCCCAAAACCAAGGCCACTTGAAACCAATAGCGACATAGCAACAAGCGTCATTGCGAGGATATGCAATAAAGTCGCTCGAATTTTATTCCCTCTACTAGCGTACTTATGTGTCAAAAAGCTAGAGATATATACTGTTTTTAAGTGTGAAAGTGTCATCCACATATCTCCAACATATTTTTGGAGCAGGATAAAATGTATTAAGGGCGATATTTCTCCAGCTGTTCATAGATATATCTGCTATGATAGGGGATATTGGTTTTCCCATTGATACATCTTCTGGTTGTCTATATATTTTGCCTTGGAATTTAAAGATAGTAGATATGGGGCATAGCTGAATTCCTACTGCGGACTTTATAAACAGCTGTCTTCGCTGGTTCCATAGTGAAGATCAGATGGCGAGAAGAGAGAATTGGTAACAAGAAACTGTGGGAACAAACCAGCTAACAACCGATCACTCGACAAATATGTAGGAGAAACGGGAGATGGATCGGGTACACATTGAGGAGAGCGTCGATTGACATCGCTCGCAATACAGACCATCGCTCGAGTGGAATCCAAATGGGGAGCGACGGATGGGTGGACATTGCGAGGATGACTTGGAGGAGATAGTGTGGCAAGGAAGAGATGATAGATTATATGAAATAGTGTGGCTAGCCAGGTGAGGAGGATATCACCAAATAGGACAAAGTGGAGATGTGTTGTCGAAGCTCCGTCTTCTACTCGGAACTCAGTGGAACAATAATAATGTAATAAAATAATATATTGATACTGTGGAGTAATTTCAGCCTTCTGAAAGACATATGGCTGAAGCGGCATTTACCTATTGATATAAACATGGTAAGGCTTAGAGAAAATGAAGTTTGTATGAATTCTTGTTATCACTTAAGTTAAACAATAACAAAACTAATCAAAACAGTTAGTAATAAAAGGTCGCGTAACTAGGAACAATTCATGAGAATAAGGACTCAAGTGGGAAATCAGTGGCAGATGGCACTTTTTCCCGGAAGACTGCTTGTCATCAAGCCAGATTGAAAATCGCTTATTTGTATTAGTCCAAGGAATTGAGATTTTGGGAAAAATTCTGATTTTAGGCTACGAAAAATTGATTTCATGTTCTCAGAATTAGTCATTCACAATTCATTCTGCTGTTATTTCGTCCATAATTTTACATACCTTGAACCGCTTAATGGACACGCGTCAGCCATATACAGTGAAACTTAGCTTTACCCACGCTAAAACTCTATTGTTTTAACTATGGGGTTCTAGGGTAGTTCTGATCAACTCAGAGACGGAGCGAAAATGTTGTGATTTTGCGTGGAGTGTTGGTGTGTTGCTCGATACATAATATAACACTTTACAAAATACTTCTATACGCCATGGATGAGCTGGCAGACTTCCGCAATTTTGTTTCCAGAAGGTCTGCTCACTGACTCATATCAGATGGTGAATCTGTGAGAAATGGAGGGAGCCACACAACTCTCTTGCCAGTGACCCTTTCAGGGGTTGAACAGAAGATCTGGTTGCCATTTGGCCAGAGGGAGAATCATGTGGTTCATGATTTCGATTTTGTTTATGAAGTTCTCTGTGGAGTCACAACAGTATGCCGAATAAATCTGCCGTAGTATCTAGTCTGCCATGAATTAGGTCGCTGAAGGACTTTCAGTAAATCAAACGGTGTAGTGGGATACAAACTACACTTTTCATTATTCGTGGACCCTCGGAAATGTGTGGCAAGGAAAGTTTCATTGCTGAATTCTGACTAGAAAACGAAAACAATGTAATACTCACTAATGGCTTAATGCATAGGTCCCTTGCAGCACTTCTGAGAATTTTACAGAGTAACGTTTTCAGTCTCAAACGTTTTGTGTGTATTTGGCGAGCCACTGAAATTATGACTGCTTTCTAAGTGTAGGGACAGGCACAGACCCCAACTTAATTTTCGGCTCCCGAACTGGTAATCTACTTTATAATTTATTCTATTCCTTTGCGACCCAAGAGGCATATCAGAATTCAAGCTTCCCACCTAAAGTTTAAGTGGCAGCTGTGCTTAATAGGCGTGCGGTTGCTAGCCTCACGCTTAACCCTGTCTCATCACCAGACATACTACCGGTTAAGCGAGTTTTCAGTAGTGAGTCGGCCGGGAACCGAGCCCCGGACCAAATGCGTGGTAGGTGAGTACCCTGCCGATGAAACACCGACGCATGAAATACTGACAAGCAGGGGCTTATGGGATGATCGGGAAACTTATAGCTGTATACGTGCGATTTTGTTGTACAGTTCTACACTTGAAGCTAAAAAACAATATACTCAAGAAAAGTTTTAACCATCTGTGAGATTTTGCTGACTTTTTATTCTTATTTTGAAGGTTATAATCCAGAAGGATTCTGTTTATCTTTTTCACTCATTAAAGATTGACATAGTATTTAAAGAGCTACTTACACACATTATGCACTGGTTTCTTGTAAAAACCTGACTGATTTTGTGTTTATACCATACGTTTATCTTTAACATTTCATGTAGACTCTGTTAGGAGACTTATTTACTTAAAATGTCAAAAGATATGAAGCTTCGGGACATCAATATTGCACTGATAGGGCTCTCAAATGTAGTTGTTCCCCTCCACGACAGTTTTTCGGTAGCCAGACTCAGCCTTTAAGAAGACTTTCTGTTTAGCTTCCTGATTTTACAGTCGTCCTTTAGCAATTCGGTAACCATTTGGTATCTTTATTTGTTGTGTCTAGACTCAGGAGAATATGTGTGAGTCACCTTATTTGTGTAATAGGAAGGGCTGATTCAGCCGCTAGTACATTTCAACGTCAGAGCTTGGTCCTCGATGTTCATTTATATCATAAACCATCAATGATGGACTGTGGAGATACGCAGTGCTTTGAGTGACTTCATTGCACATCTCCGCTAACTGTAGTTTGTCAGTCCATTGCTGCGGTAATTAAGCGCCAAGTTCCTTTTTACATGACTTTCAAAAATCCTTTCTGACATACATATCAGTTACATCACATACTTTAAGTTACATTTGTGGTAAGGATGCAGTAAGTTCCAAGATCAAAGGTATATTTTTGGATTTTCATGAAGTCGAGTCGGGAAATTTGATCTAATTATTGAAATGCAGTAATACTCACTAGATAAAGCAGGTGGAGCCACTTCAAAAAAGGAATGTGCTTTATTATTGCCTCAGTTCATTCACAATTTAAGAACTAGCCACTGCTGCTGACCTACTTTTACTGGGTATAATCAGTTTCTCACTGCGTAAAAAAACACAGTTTTCATACTGTTATAGGTCAGCATATCATTGTGATCACCCGTATATTTTATGATGCAGTTTGTCTTTCATCACACTGCCTGCAATCATCTTATTAATTAAATTTCATAAAGCGTCATACACTATAAAGGGATTTCACCATCTGTTGGATAGATATCCGTGCACGTATACACGTCTGAAATCCTTTGATAACGTAAAAGGTATGTGTAAGTCAAACTCATAAAGTATGGATTTATGGTGAAGTTGTGAGAGCACGAATTTCACAGTTTTTGAAAGCTGTCACAAATATCCACTGACTTTAAATGGTAATAGGAGCTTTTAAGTAAAAGCAGCTTCTAAGCAACAGAAAGAGTTTTATTCCCGTAATTTCTCTGTCATGAGGAGAAAGTATCAGTCTTACTATACCAAAGTACTAAAAAAGGTTGAAAAGTGTAAACCACAAGAGCAGCACAAGTACTCTGCTAAAGCTGAAGTAGTGATTCATAGGTTTTTCAGCTAAGGACGTCTGACAAAATTACAAATATTTGGAGTCGAAAATGAGTTCATTCGAAGGTTATCACATTCATGAGATTAAATATCGGGTGTTCAATCCTTCAATTATTCATTTCTTCATTTCGGCTAAAAGTTGGTGTGCTGTTCTGTCAGCGCTCACTTAGATTCTCGTCCTTATTTGAAATCCCAAAGAGAACATGGCTGCAATCCGGAAGAAGTTGGTCATCGTTGGCGATGGAGCTTGTGGGAAAACATGTTTGCTCATTGTCTTCAGTAAAGATCAATTTCCTGAGGTCTATGTCCCAACCGTATTCGAAAACTATGTTGCCGATATTGAAGTTGACGGCAAGCAAGTCGAATTGGCACTTTGGGATACTGCTGGTCAGGAGGATTACGATCGTCTTAGGCCATTGTCCTATCCCGATACAGATGTTATACTGATGTGTTTCTCAATTGACAGGTTAGTTGACCTCTTACGTGCTCGGTGAGAAAGTAGTAGTGTTATCACTAATTGTCTAACCATTATAACTTGGACAGTTATCCACACTTCGAAAAGGCAAAGATACACTGTTTTGGTTGCAAAATGATAACTCAACCCAAAGCTAGTGCAGCATGTATATGTGGTATTTCATGAAAATTTAGTAATTTGTTAGACAGGCAAACAAATTTAAAGCTATTCCATATTAGTTTATTAGATGTATCACACAGTGAAACAGTATTATTTACTGGATAACGTTTCGAACAAAATTTATTGTCCATAATCATTACAATTGTAATCACACGACTTTGAAACTTGAGTTTTATAGTTTTTTTTGTCTTCTATTTGTCGTATGCGCTGTAAGAGACGTAAATAATACTGTTTCACTGTGTGATACATCTAATAAACAAACTAATATGGAATTACTTACCACCACAGTGCCCAAGGTTTACACATGTAAATTTAAAGGTATGTACATAAGTGTATCTTATCAGATTACCACGTTGAAAAAGGTCACAAGTCCTCACAAATGTGATGAAAGTTACAGTAAGCAATGCCTTACTGTGAACGGTGTGGGGGAACTTTGAGGTAACTTTGATAAATCACATGGAGTGAATACATCGGTGATGCTACACATTTGTCAGCCATTTTGTCAGGAATCTGTTGGTATAATGTTTAGCTATGAACAACGGATCTATGTGCTATCCGTCGGCAAGAAGGAGGCTGTTAGAGATGGAAGCTATGAACAGGTGTGTAGTTTCTAACCAAATGTATTGTGTTCGATCCCTTTAGCTAGGCAGAGCATTATGTTCGGTAGTTAGGCGTAGTGTTGGGTGATAAGGGAAGCAAATCAAAAGGTTGTGAAGCTTCGTCAATTGAAACTATGTAGATATGTGCTACGCATGTCAAGCCACTCTGCTTCGAAGAACATTGTTAACAGAAAAGATGTAAGAGGTGGTGAGCTGTCAACAGTGTCATCCCATACATCCAGCTGTTTTTGTCACATTGGTAGATGTAGATTCCTGAGTAGGTCCTCAGGATGCTAGATTCCAATGGTCAGAAGTTGTTGGCCACATGGCTTAAAGCCGTTTATAATAGCGCTAATATATGGTCACTCATTTGCTAGATTTATTTAGTAGCCCTTTTACCCTGTGTTTCATGTACTGCAATAGGCACTACAATTCACTACTTTTTTCTGCTTTTCCGAAGTGTAGCAATTGATGTTCATTTTTGTATAGCTCTACAATGAACAGTTAACCTATAGTGAAGTCTCAAAGGTGTAAATTTGAGCAACTTAAACTCTCGCAGTTAACATGCCTTTTGATAGGCAATGTATTTCTAGACCATTAGAAGGGATAATTTAGTGGGACATGAAGAGGTTGAGTCTAATTATAACATCTCTCTTAGTATCTTAGTGGTTTTCAGATTATACTTAAGAAATATGACCCAAAGTTTACATACTATTAGGCATCTTAATAGTTGAAACACTCGACAGAAAGTAATCTGCACAAGTCTGAATATCTCTCGGACAACCGATGTAGTAATGAAGTCATTTTTCCTGGTAATGATTTTGTCCTGTCAGCTTCGGTTTTTGTCGGCAAAACTCTGACAAACCAAACTGCATACATTCATTGCTATACCAACGTTACTTCATCTGACTTAGCAACAAAATCCAATAGACTTATTTTCATTCTCTATGAATTCACAAAGATTGTGGTTAATTGAGGTAACTCTGAAGCTTCGCAGTACCTGGTATTTGTTACAGTCATTTCAATTTAGAGATTTTAGCCTCTTTTAAATGTCTAGAACACTGGCCATCCAAAATGGTACTTAGAGGTGCTTAAAGCATGCTTAACTACTTTCTGCCGCTGAAAACACGTCCATGATAAAAGTAAGTTGTATACACTATCGCAAAGTAAAATGAGTATCTGTAAGTTTTTAGTTAGTGTAAAGCTATTAGCTCGTGATTCTGTTAAGTATAAACATCCGCTAATTGAGAAGACCATGATTTGCATTCCTTGTGAACTGTGGGCGGAGGTCTAGATCTATCCGTAACACGGTGTTTCTGTTACGATTCATTTAGTACATTGAGTGACTGATAGATCAATGTAAAACTTTACAGAAGCTCACTAGTCTTAGTTGCCATATGCCTAATCAGCATATAGAGGAAAACAAAAGTAAGCAACTGTGTGTGTGAAAATAGTGAAGATTAAGGTTTTGGTAATAAAGAGCGAATCCGCCTGCTCCACTGTGAACTTTTGGGTGACGTCATGAAAAGTTTCTAACCGTCTGTTCTTAATGTGACGTGAATCACATCCATGAAACGTGAACTTTCATGTTTCTGACTAGCAACCATAAACTTGATGTATTGTTGCTATTCTTTGGTCTGACCACTACTGACCACTTATTTAACTGGTTTATTGAAAGACGGTAGTTCAACATGCGTAACATTTCCACTACATAATTAGGCAAGGAGTTACCACTTTACCTTTCTTATCTAAAACTGCCTAGTCCTAGGATTACTTACCATTTGGTTATTTCATGCAAGCAACCTAACCATGCCATATATATTTAGTAATATGTTGCTTAAAAGAGTTTACGTGATTGGTGTACAGGTCTCTTAGGCACTATCAAATCTAACATAATTATACAATATATGGATATGGCAAGTTTTGGATGGCTATCTGTAATCATGTGTTTTAAGATTTATCAAAGGATGAAGATATGACCAATGCACTCCAATCCGAATTACAAACCAGCTTAGTTTCATTGGATTAGCCTTCTCACGAGTTTCACTTGATCTTGTAGTGATTTCGGGATGATCAGCACTTGTATTAGCCCAGTTGTCCCCCTTATACTTCAAATAATTGAAAAAAGGAGTTGCGTCGTCATATACATTATTGCACACTTGCATATTTTTTCACTAAATAGGTCTGGGAACTTTACTAATCAAACTGAGTACACATATCATGGAGGTGTGCTAGTACTTTACCCATCAGCTGTATTTCCCAGACAGTCACATCATTTGTAATTACTATCCACTGTTTGATTTTTATTTTCCATGTTGATTTGATATTTCAGTACTGATAGCCTCGACAATATAATTGAAAAGTGGCATCCTGAAGTGAAACATTTCTGTCCAAATGTTCCAATAATTCTTGTGGGTAACAAACAAGATTTACGTAATGATGAACGAGCACATCATGAGTTGGCTAAAGTACGCCAGGAATTGGTTAAATATGAAGAGGGTCGTCTCATGGCTGATCGTATCAGTAAGTTTCCCCATTTTTTATTCAAGCTTTTATTTATTTATGAAGGGTTTCTATTTTTAAAATATCTGTGGTCTTTTATACGTAGTTTGAATGTACAACTGAATTTTTTGTGGGAAGTGTGGATTTACGTGATATCTACTGTCTTAATTTTGATATCTATCGTAAGGTATATACAGGCTTGCACTATATGTCATATCGTGGTTACTTTTAGATAAAATCTATAATCCCAGAGCTTTTAGAGTTGACAGGTTGATGATTTGTACTAAGATTAATTTTCATTGGATTATAGACTTCTGTCACTCCTGTATTAGGTAAATTTTATATTTTGCTCTTTTTGTTATTGTTTGCAAGAATGGATGTTATGCCTTCATGAAATCAAATAATGCTAACGATATCAAGCTTCCAATTAGTAATCTTCATCTCATAATGTTGTTTTTCAAATCCCATTTGACCGAGATTTAAATGTTCTTACTGAGTCAAATCGAACCATACCTTTTACTATGGAAAATGTTAAGTTATCAATTTCTGTCGTATACTTTCTTCTATCATATGTTATTGTTTCCTCCTGGTTCCCTATCAATTCATATTTTTTATGTTGTCGAGTAGAGCAGTGGTTCGTTGTCTCGAACTATCGGTTTTCGGCTAATATCTCTCGGATTTGAGTCCACTTGAACTTAAGTCTAGGCCAGTGAGTAGTGTCATCAGCCCTCAAGCGATAAGTGCGGCTGTTAACTAGGTACATGAAAAATCTGTTCCAGGTAACTGAATTCAACTAGTTCCCTCTTATCGGGTCAATAAAATAGTGGCAACTGGAAGTTATATACAATTGTTTCATTTTATTCTGAGTTAAGTGCTAATAAATTTTGATTGATTTGTTCAAAACGTTGGAGTGAACTGAATTTCTCGCGTAGAACTTTGCACAAGAGTTCATCAGGCTCAGCTTGCCAATGGTATAGAGAGGATTCAGAAAGAAACTCTAACAAACGAAAGTGTACGGGAGACCGAATGATTATATGGCGGAAAATGAAAACTTAATGCGTCTGAGATTTCATAAAGAGTGAACGCATCTACCACTTTGAGTCATATCATCAATAGTCTCTAGTCATTGATTTTTAGGGTCTTGAGGATCCCACCTAGGTATCCTACACTTCCCCATATGGCCCAAACTAACAGCTAAAGATTTATGCTATATATTGGTTTAGTCACTTTTAACTCCTTCTCAACCTAATCGTATGTCAGCTATCATTGTTTTTTGTGAAGGACAATGGCTTAGGATGCATACCATGGCCTTAAACCATCTCAATATATACGACTTCATAATCTCATCGATTGACACTATACGTCTAATCTCCATGTTACTGACGTTGTTTTGTTATGATCATTTCTTGGAAAAGTTCAGATTAGTTTGTCGAACGGGAATTTTGAGATTACTGGTTTCAATATCGCTCAGATTTGAATGGACATAACTATATATATATATATATATATATATATATATATATATATATCTGCTTTTCGCGTAGTGCCCGATTTTAGTGAGGGTTCGGTTCAAATTGTTATTAAAGTTTATACTAATTTAACTAGTAGATTCCTATTTTGAATGCCATCTAACCTACAGTCGTGTAGGCTCCACAGATATAATTGAAATTAGAGCTCAAACTTTCACTTAAATGTTGTGCTATATTTGATTTATCTTTCATATAACGATTAGAAAAAAAAATACTTGATTGAATATTGTTTTATCTTACTTTTTTTAACTTTGTAGACGCTTATGTGTATTTGGAATGCTCTGCAAAAACAAAAGAAGGTGTTCGTAAGGTCTTTGAAACAGCTACACGTGCTGCTTTATCTACAAAGCGTAAAGGAAAAAGAGGCTGTGAACTTGTCTAGAGAAAGCATCCTATTGCTTGAAAAATGATAGGGTAAATGAATTTGTTGAGATCTACCAGTAGTATATATATGTATGCGTGTATGCGTGCTAGCTGTGTATCATCTCCTATAAATGTACATGTATGCGTGTATGTTTGCTGCCAAGTTATTCTACTTCTTACATCTCTAAGCTTATTTGTGTGTATGCGTGTGTGAGTTGATCTATTCAAACCATGTTAGAGAGGAGTGTATACAACGTGTCTTTTTCATGCATTTATTCAAAAGAAGCAAACCAAATAACCCCACAGTAAAGTAGTGGTGTCGACTGTGTGCTCTGTTACTGCCATGATCATGCTTTTATTTTACCTTCCCAACTATAATAAAATTATTATTATTATTATTCTCCCTCTTATTTCTATCTTTGTCGTTATATTGCCTGCCTTTTTCACACTAATAGCTAATCGTTCATGAATATACATATACACATATTCACATAAGTATACACGTTGCTGAGGGGGGAAAGTTTTCCACTTTTACCAACAAGTCTCTATTTTCATCGATTATTTTCCGCGTTGATTTCCTTTTTCTTTTATGTCGAAGTAAAGAAACAATCAAAACAATGAAGAATTGATTAGTTGATTAATTTGTGCAATAAATAATAATAATAATAATAGTAATTATATATAAATTTATATATATAATGTATGCTTTCAGTGCAATATTACCTGTCGGATAATTGCACACTTTTATGATTATTCTTGTCCTTCTTATTGCTCTCTTTTGTGTGTGTTGTTCAAAGTTACGTTTACATTTCCTTCTTTGAATAAATAACCCTATACCATTGCTGATAATATCAGTAAAATCTCTATTTATATTATACAATTTCATAAAATCAAAAATATTGATTATTTGCTGGAATTGTGTATACATCTCATCATTCTTTTTGTTGGTTGTATTATGATGTCTTCCAAATCACTCATATATATATATATATATATATATATATATACCCCTTACTAATTTAAAGAATGATGCAAGGAAGGATAATGTTTTAAGAATAATAATAATAGTTTAATTCTGTTTTTGTTCGCCCTCTGTTTTGTTGTTTTGTCACTTATTGGCGTTTTCTATTTCTCTTCCTTAAAACAGACAGCGAGAGAGAGAGAGAATTGTGCTAATTAATCATTAACCCGAGAATTTGTTCTTTTCTCTGTGTGTTGTTATGTATGTAGTCTAACACTTCTTCTACAATCAGCATTGAACAATGATGACGATGATATTTGTAAATGCATGTTTTACAGACTTATACATCACATCACATATTGTCTCTTTGCCCTGGGGGTTACATCCAAACTGTAGTTTTTCTTCGTCTATTCTACATTCTTCATTACGTCTTAATGTTTTTAAATAATATTAACATATATATAAATATATATATATATTTATAAATACTTTGTATTCTATTTATTTATTTCTTTTATGTTGGGATTAAAGCTAGTTTCCCCCCGTATCTTTTATTGTCTGAAGCAGCTGATGTATGTGTTAGGCGTACTTGTCCACTGGTCTCTCTTCCAACCCAGCTTTTCTATCCCGACAAATTCTGGTACATAAAGTGATTGAAGCTCTAAGTGCTTTTAAGTTTAGGAGTGTTCACGGAACAAGTGGAATCAGTTATTATTATTACTATTGTTATTATTATTATTGGACTATATATATGTAGGCTCTTGGCAAATGCTATTCAGCTTTGTCGTAGTTATTTCTTGCAGAACAGGTTTATACTGACTCTTAGTTTGAAGACGAGGAGTGAAGCAGTAGTAGTAGTAGAAGGTGTTGATCACCTCACTTATTCGGAAAGATGTGCATCAAACCTGATAGTCATTGCTGATGAGCTCTCAGCGCGGATGCAAAAGGCTTGTTTGGAAATTACCAAATTACGTGTCCTCTCTGGTCGATAGACGTAATATCCGACTGTCAATCAAAGGATGTGTGTACAGCACATTAGTTCGCTATGTTCTTCTTATTCGCTGTGGGACATGATCATTGAAAGGGGTTAGCTTTCTCTGACCACAAATGTTTTCGTCCTATTTCCCGTATTAACATCTTGAGATTATTTCGTTCATTTAGATAAAGTGATATAAACTTGAGTTGTTTGATATTTTCATCTTGTTTGCCTTTTGGACCACACACTGTGCTGTGCTTGATTTTCATTCACCGAATTCATAATAATGTAGTGGAATTCAGTGTTCACGTACAGGTCCATTTATTGAACTATAGGCCATTTAGTTTAAGAACTAATGTTCATTTCACGTTCTTTAGCAGCTACAAATCAAGTATCTAGACTAGCAAGTGTACTATTCAATATATAACAATCTTCATTTCAGTTTTTTGAAATTTCTACTAAGCAACAGACTAACCCGTACAGAGTAAAGCTTTTTTGTTCTCAAGTATTTGGATTTGATCAATCTCGGTATATAGAAGTTGTAATCCATGATTCATCGGATTACGACTAGGTGGTCGAATGGTCAACAGCCTCCCTTCTTAACCTAGAGGTACTGAGTTCGGCCCCTGATGTCGTTGTGTGTGTGTGCGCGCTGTTCTGATAACTCACAAGCTAGGATGAAACACCCGTCCCGTACTTCAACGTTTTCAGTGGTTCGCTAAGTGACCTCGTATTGTGACGAAACTTACCGTGGAAAGCTTGTTTGTTCGTGTACCTCAGATTAATATAGTCATGCTTTTAATTCTCACATACATACCAAAATAATCCTAATAGAATTCTACTTAATTAAAGCTTAGAGAATTAAGTTACGTATTCCAGAGGATTCGGTATTTCAAACATTTTCCTTTCCAGGTTAGCTAATGCCCTTACTATCAGTTAGTCTGAAAAAAAGTCAGTGTAATTGTAGCATCTTCTTCTTAATGAATGCTTTTTGTTCACTGCCTTTTTAGTCAATAGGTCCATTGCACCTGCTTCAGCATGCATATATATATATATATTATATATCGGTGGTATCATCAGCCGTCATACAATAAGTGTAGCTTATAACCCCTCAAGAAATGAGAAATGTGTGACGCGTAATTGAGTTCCCGACAAATAAATAATATGTTTGTAAGTGATTTTCTTATTTAGATTCAGGGATTCGGATTAATTTCAATTGTTAGATTTCGTTATGAACCAACATCAGCTAGAGAGATCGTTGTAGAAAACCAGGCAGCACTGGATATCTGTTTCATCCTTGTCTAGAGCTCATCAAAGTTACACACACACACACATGACCCCACCAGAGATAGAATGCTGCTGCGACTTCAGGTTACGAGATCAAGCTCGTTGACTATTCAGCCGCCTGGGCTTGTAGATTCTGACTTTTTCAATTCTTGATATATATGGCTACCCTCAATCAATACCTTCGACGAACACCCACGTCACCTTGACATGGATCCTGCTACCGACGACTTCTGATCACCACAGCCTTCAGGACATCTATCCAGTAGGCATCAATGACCTTGAGAGTGATATTTGGTCGATAAGATATGGATTAATTTCAAGTTTTAAATTTTGTCATGAATCAACATCACATTTAGAAATCACTGGAAAAACTGGAGAGCAATGGACATCTGTTTCATCCTAGTTTGGGTACATTCAATGATCTCTAACTGATGTTGTTTCATGATGAAATTCAACAAGTGGAATTCTTTTTACTGCTTAAGATGTTTTTTAATCTTATTGATGTTGATGATGCAGCTGAACACTTGACGAGATGAAAATTAAATTATTTCATAAACATGGTTTCAGGGTCAAGAACATACATCTACTCACGAATGTTCATTAACATTTAGAAATTTCTGAACGTGTATTCTATACAGATGTCGAGATACGCAAGGGTGTATTGAATTTATTCTGAAACAAACTCTAGATGTGTATGAGTTATGTGTGACCAACAGGTTGATGGAGCAGATGAGAAAAAAATACCCCATAAAAGATAAATAAAAGTGACTACACTTCATATATGTGAAGTAGAGGTCTACGCTTCCATTATATTTGTTTTTCTCACATTGTTTACATCCGAAAGTTGTGACATTTGAGTATTTTTCATATCTTTTTGCAGGTCAAAGTTCTCTTACTTACGTTTATTATAATATAGATGTAGCTTT